CTCTCAAGGGGATCCCTAGGTGGCTCAGCGGTTTGGCACCTGCCTTTGGCCCAGGGCGCGATCCTGGAGTCCCGGGATTGAGTCCCGCGTCGGGCTCCTGGCATGGAGCCTGCTTCTTCTTTTTTTTTTATTTTTTTAAAGACTTTATTTTTTAAAAATTTTTATTTATTTATGATAGTCACAGAGAGAGAGAGAGAGGCGCAGAGACACAGGCAGAGGGAGAAGCAGGCTCCATGCACCAGGAGCCCGATGTGGGGACTCGATCCCGGGTCTCCAGGATCGCGCCCTGGGCCAAAGGCAGGCGCCAAACCGCTGCGCCACCCAGGGATCCCGAGCCTGCTTCTTCCTCCTCCTGTGTCTCTGCCTCTCTCTCTCTCTGTATCTATCATAAATAAATAAATAAATCTTTAAAAAAAAATAAAAATTGGCTATCAAACTTTAGTTTGCATCATAATCCCTCTGGAATGATGCTGATGCTGCTGGTTCTGAGACCACACATTGAGAACCATTACCTTCAGCTTGTTGAGTGTCTATTCCTTGAAGCCAAGAGCACATTAACATGGTGCTAAGATGTCGCTGCTGAGCCTGTAGGTTCTTGGAAAAGGTGAAATCCTAGCTCCCTGCAGTGGTCACCAATAGAGTCCATCCAGCTGGGTTTAACCTCTCTTGTCTTAGCTGTGTTAAAGATACATGGAACATGGAGGATATTCAGAGTTGCGAAAAGCAGGGCAGTCAATGCTCCTACCCTCCAGCTCTGCCTCATACTTTTGGCAGGTGTTCAAAGCAGTGCAGTCTGAGCTCCCAGCATCTCACCAATATTTAAGATCATGCTCCTTTAATTTCTGCCTATAGCTCTCACACTGAAGGCTCAGACATACTTCCCGGGACCCCAGCCAAGTGACCATCTTATCTTCTGGTCAGATATTTCCAGAGATTTCCCCCAAAGAACTTCATACAGAGCAGCTGCATCCTTTCCTTGATCCTCATACATATTAGACGTATTTAAATCTCAGTGATGCTCACAGATTGGTCCATACATACCAGATTGATTTAATTCTAGTGACACTCACCTCATTGGTGGCACCTACCCACATACCCTATATGAGGAATAACGGATCTCTTGTCCCAACCACTATTCTAGATCACTGGCAGGCAAACTTTCTGTAAAGTGCCAGACAATAACTATTTGGGGCTTTGCAGATGAAAGATATCTGTCACAACCACTCAACTTTGCTGTGTAGCTCAAAAGCTGGCATATACAATGTGGAAAGGAATGGAATGGGTGTGCCGATATTCCAATAAAATTGTATTTGCAAAAAATAGGCAGCAAGCAGAATTTGGCCCAACTTCTGTTTTGGATAGTCTTTTTTCCCCTCATTATTAAATAAAGTTAATGAGCCTTCAAACAGATGGAAAGTGTATTTAGTGTTAGCAGTTCTATATTGTTATGGGGACTCTAAAAAAATCTATAGGTTTTCTCCAGAGCTGGCAGTAAGCCCAGCCAATCTTAAAAAAACTCCGCCTCAACATTTTCAAAAAATATAAAATTATATCAATGTATAGCTAAAATTGAACCAACTTCCTATCCTTAAAAGATAAATATTTGACACTTGTTTAAGCAGAAATAATTTTGAAACAAAAATATGCATATATGTCTTAAAGGTTTATATTAAAAATGGAATGTTGAGACAACAGAAATGAGAACTTAGATCTATATGACATAGATTATATCCACCAATTTATTACTTTATACTCTCTTATTTTTAGTTCTTTATATATAAAAAGTAAAAGTTGCAAAACAACACACAACTGACAACAATGAATCATATAAACAGACTTGGTACATAGCCACTTTAACATAGAGACCAACTCAGCTCCAAAAAAGCAGAAAGCTTCCCATGCCTTAAAAAAAAAAAAAATGTATCAGTTGCTATTGTTTTAGTGTTCAGAACCATTTTCAACATCATCATCTCTCTCTTTTAAAAAAAAAATTTTTTTTGATAGCAGTTTTGACAAGGGCCTTTGTAAGAGGAATTAATCCACTTGGGAACTTGGCAGTTTCCAAGTTTTCTATTTTCCTTCTAAGTGTTCTTGCAAAGTGTGTGACCATAGAGCTCAGGACTTAGAATGGTTGTGTCTTTTCTGATTTTTCTGGTCTGCTGTTAGCTTTGGCTTATATTGCATTCTGTGTTACTTACTCATCAAGTAGTAGCTAGTCTTCCTTCACAGACTCTAAATGTCCTGGCTTAGGATTCTCTGCCCAGAAATTGTCTCATTTAAGGAAGTAATTGGTCCTAACACCATAGGACAGAAAGGTGTGGTTTGATGGGAGCTGCTTCTGTTTAGAGCTCTATTTAATAGTTTTCTATTTCTATTTCTTTTTTTTTTTAATTTTTATTTTTTTTTTTATTTACGATAGTCATATATATATATATAGAGAGAGAGAGAGGCAGAGACACAGGCAGAGGGAGAAGCAGGCTCCATGCACCGGGAGCTCGACGTGGGATTTGATCCCGGGTCTCCAGGATCGCGCCCTGGGCCAAAGAGAGGCGCCAAACCGCTGTGCCACCCAGGGATCCCCGTCTATTTCTATTTCTATCTAATATCTTATTCATAGAATTCCTCATTTCACATTAAATAATGGTACTGAGAAAAACAGTTAACTAACTTTAAATTATAAAGGATTATTAACTCATTCATGGGAGGGGATCAATCCTCAATTCATTTCATTCATTCTGAAACTTCCTTAACTTTTTTAACCTTAGCCATTCCAAAATTCCCAGTTATCTGACTTAGGTCAATTTTAAGTTCTCAAGGTATAGAAACTAGTTAAATTGCATTGGTTTCCGAAGACAAAATGAGCAATATAGAAGAAGAAGAAGACTTTTTCTTGGGGCGCCTGTGTAGCCAGTTGGTTAAGCATATGACTCTTGGTTTCAGCTCATGTCATGATCTGGGGGTCCTGAGATCAAGCCCTGCATCAGGCTCCACAGTGAGCAGAGTCTGCTTGAGATTCCTTCCCCCTTCTTCTCCTTCCACCTCTTCTCCTCCCCCTGCTATGCTCTCTCTAAAATAAATAAAATCTTTTTTTTTTTTAAGACTTTTTCTTGGACCTGGACAAGGCTGTTTCTATTATAAACTTGTCATTAGGGTGTCCCAATCTGATTTTATATAAATCAAAACAAAAATTTAGTTTGAAGGGCGCCTGGGTGGCTCAGCCAGTTAAGCAACCAACTCTTAATTTCGGATCAGGTCAGATTTCAGGGTCATGGGATCCAGCCCAGAATAGGGCTCTGTGCTCAGCGGTAGCAGGGGTTCTGCTTGTCCCCCTCCCTCTGCTCCTCCCCCAGCTCACAGGGTGCACATGTTCTCTCTCTCTCAAATAGATAAATGAATAAAATCTTTTTTAAAATTTAGTTTACGTCTATTTCCTATTTAGTCTTAGGTTGATTTAACCAAATTAAAGATGATTTGAATTAATTTTAATCCCAAACTTGATAAATTAACAACTAGGATCACTGCTTCTAAGTATTTTTAGATCATAAAGTGGCTAATCTGTTTTACTAATAACTATTGTATATTGTCATAGACTTTTAAATAAAATTAGCTTTTGCAGTAAGTTTATTAAAATCCACTGAATCAAGAAATATCCAAAATACATTTTCACTCAATACCATAATATTATATGTGCTGCTGATTTAAAATATGTGGTTTTTGTTTCAATAAGATTGTCCTTGACAACTTCCCTGACTCATGCCTAATTTACATTTCAAAACTCAGAGAGGCTTGCAAAAGCAATTTCAAGATAATGTATATTTTTAAATTTTGAAACTTTTTATAAACAAAAATGAATACATTAAAATCAAATACACAGTACATATTAAATAAGTGGGTAATAAAGATTTTGATTTGCCCTGTGTGTGTTGGTGGTGGTTTATGTTGTTCAGACATATGTGGGTATTATAGGCAAAGAAATTAAATTAACTCCTCCATTCTCAACATGTGATTTCCTCCTCCCTGTCTAAGTATTACAAGAATGCAGGCCATGATCACACAAAGCCACATGAAGCTAAAACAGCATTTTCCTCTTCTGTGATTTTAGTCTGATGGGTACCCAAGGAAACTAATGCTATCTATCGTTGGACTTTGCTGCCTGTCCCAACATGTTTATTATTAGCATTGGCCTGGCAGGAACCGGTTTCTGACCCTAACTAGCTGTGTGGGAACTAGGGACTATTCATTTCATCTCTCTGTAAAACAAAGTTGGATTCGACTATCTCTAAAAAGTCCCTTCTATTTCTCAAATTCTTTGACTGAATTGTTCTGTTCCATATCTGTCTGGTTGTGGGGTATTAACTAGTTTATATGGCCACCCAAGACCCAATTCGGATGCAATGGGGCTCCTCCATATTTGTCACAGTGACAATACCTTGCTCTATCGCATCACACTGGATTGAGATAATGGGAAGTTATTTGATGGTGGTGGTGGTGGTGGTGTTTTATCTTTTAAATTTTTTTAAGATTGATTGATTGATTGATTTGAGAGAGAGAGAGAGAGAGAGAGAGAGAGAGGGGCAGAGACACAGGAGGAGGGAGAAGCAGGCTCCATGCCAGGAGCCCGATGTGGGACTCGATCCCAGGACTCCAGGATCACGCCCCAGGCCAAAGGCAGGTGCTAAACTCCTGAGCCACCCAGGGTTCCCCTAGTGGTGGTATTTTAATAAGAAAACCATAGCATCTGGGACGCCTGGGTGGCTCAGCGGTTGAGCACCTGCCTTTGGCTTGAAGCGTGATCCCGGAGTCCCTGGATCAAGCCCCACATTGGGCTGCCTGCATGGAGCCTGCTTCTCTCTCTGCCTATGTCTCTGCCTCCCTCTCATTCTGTGTCTCTCATGAAAAGAAAGAAGAGAAGAGAAGAGAAGAGAAGAGAAGAGAAGAGAAGAGAAGAGAAGAGAAGAGAAGAGAAGAGAAGAAGAGAAGAAGAGAAGAGAAAAGAAGAGAAAAGAAAAGAGAAAAGAAAACCATAGCATCTAATGCATATTTTCTGAAGACTAGGATATTCTGAAATGCTTATCATATTTTTACATCCCTGAATAAAACAGGTAATTTAAACATTGTTAATGTCTAAAGCCACCATGTTTGGAAAAGGCAGGAAATGTCAGAAACTGTTTAAACTGCTTGTAAATTATATCCCAAAGATAGTTTACTAGATGGGAAGGACCACAATTAACCATAGCTTAGACAAGAAAGCCTTCTTGGAGGCTCTGAGACTGGGCTAGCGGCTCTACCCATCACTCTCAGAGCACCCTTCCCATCCTTGCCCCGGTGTCACACCCAAACCAGCGTTGTAACTGCCTAATTGCTAGTCCCCCTGGTCACTCACGCAAATTCCTCGAGGACAGAAATTTTGCTTGTTCATTGATGTACCCCTAGTACCCGACACATAGTAAGGACTCCATAAATAATTGTTGGATAGCTATCTCCACTTATTGATCTTCCAAGGGCAACAGTAACAAGCAGGAGTATCGCCACATGACAGCAATAAGAGGCATCTCTACCAAGAGCCTGTGTTTGGTAGTTGTCAGGAGGACATAGGTTCCCATCAATGTGTGATGGATGGGATCCCCACAAATTTCCATTCAATGATGTCCTTGTAGTATGTCATACCATACCTACCTATAAGTAGCACCAAAGGACATATGATACTTTGGTGGGACTGTTTTGACTATTTATCCAACGCTTAGACACACCTTGGCAGAATTTGCCAACAGTGTATTAACCACAAGCAGCTAAACACAAAGAATGAATACTCTTCAAGAGAGGAAGATGAATCGATGTTGGCTATATTTTAGTAGGAAATTCCTCTGGCTACATTTTATAGGAAGTAGATGGGGTATCTATTGTGCAATACTCAGCATACTGTCTGGTAATGAATTAAGAGAAGCTTTTCCCCCTTCCATATGAGAATTTGACCTTTGGTTAATTTTCTAGCTCTGTTCTCCCAGCAACCTAATAAAGAATAGCATGTCAACTATGCTGCTGGCATCATTACGCATGGTAAATATGACCCCTAATTGGTAAACTGCATCCAGAATGGGAGAACTATAAGCATCTGAAAGGAAGCCACAACTCTGGACTTCCCTAAGCACAATGACACTTGGAATGGACATATCTCTTGCAGGAACCCTGGAAACTTTATCTATGGAGTTGTTATAATGGACATTTGCTCCCATAGGACAAGAGGCTTTTAAGCCAGGATAGTTTCCATACTTGCCTAATGTGGGTCTGTCTCCTTGCATCTAAGTTATGACACGTGAACTGTTGCAGGGACTCCAACAGAAGAGCAACATCTGGCTCTGTCCTCCTGGTGAGGTGTGCTTCCCATCTACATCCTTCTAAGTGACTCTGATCCCAAGAGTAGCAGTTTATGAGTGTGAATGTTTCTAAATGCTCAGTTGAGCCTAAGTAGACCACTGTGATACTACTTGCTTCGTGTTTTGTTTTGTTGCAGATGCTCCACAGGGACTATGAGAGATGTGAAACTGTCTGGCATAGTTTTCTGCTTCCAAAAAATTCATAATCACACCCATCACTGTCTGCATGACAGATAATCCATCTCCATTACATGTCACCAAGACATAAATCTCCAATTGATGCCTTCTCTTAAAATCCCCAAGCTTGTTCCTACTAAACCTTCTCCCTCCAAGCACATAACCCCACCTTAACCCCCTGGTTTTTAATATGATATGACAAATATCCAAAAATCAAATTAGATATAAAAATTGCTCCCCCAAACCACAGTTCTGATGAATAATTGGGGATAGAAAAAAATAATCTACCTGGAGGTCAGAACAGATGCTAGAAGTTCTCCAGTTATGAAGATTCCATATCATCTGATCACAATGGTGTAAGTTAGTGTCACCTTTTAAAACTAGGAGCATGTGAGAAAACAACCAAACTGCTCCTGCCAGACAATTAACTTTTCATTTCTCTCTACAGGAGCATTATCTGAAGAAAAGAATTCAATTTTCCACACTATAATGAAAGGTTTGAGGAGCATAGTGATACGTAGCAGAAACACTGAACAAAAATCCATGAAAAATTGCCCATGATAAGCAACTGAATAAAGTGCCCCTTTTTGGAGCTGGAAGATAGCACAACCACATGAAAGCACAAGGCAACCTACAAGAGATCAACAGGAAGTACAGAACTTCTCATACACCCAACCCTAGGCCCCTCCCCACCCCGTTACACTAGACTTCACAGAGATAATCCTATTGTTAATGCACAAGAGACACACAAGAAAAACTTACAAGTCCAATGAAGCAGTCTGAATTCAGTTGACCAAAGGCCACTCAAGTCTTCCCACTGCCCTCAGAATCAGCACATGCAGCCATACATGTGGCTTTTTCACATCAATTAACAACAATACCATCACGTATTCTGAACCTCCAGAATACTCAATTTCACATTTTGCAGACCACTAGGCCAGTAACTTTCTCAAGGAATATTCGAAATATTTACATCAAAATAACATCTATCTGCCAAATGACCGGAAGTCACATTGCTCTATGTCATTTCTTAGCCTATTACAGATACAGACTTTATTTACATTCCTTTCCAACCCTTGCTATGAAAGCTTGTTCCCTTCCCCCAAGAAAAACAACTTCCCAGGGATGCCATTATTAAATCCTATTCAAGTAGGAATTTTGTTCCTGTCCATACAATGTATCAAGTATAAGATCAAGAATCCCTTTGTGAACTTGCATTGAATGTGCCAGAAAGATGCCAGATATAAAATAAATCATTAATGGTCTATCTTGGGCCCAACCATGAATTTACTTATAAAAGTATCACCAACTCCATTAATTAAATCTCAGACACTGTGCAATTATAAATACCACCATTTGTGAACATAAATTTAGAAGAGGACTGTTTATGATCTGATAGTCCAAATAGAGCAATTATTTCCATTAAAAGTGATAGAACTCATTGATCCAGTTAGTACTAATATCAACATGCTAGTTCAAAACAACCAACCATGAATGCAATAATTTGAGACATTATGGAAAAAAGAATTATTTAAATATTAAGTTTCATGTTCCGCTTTCGTTCCATTGATTTTACTACTTGAAAACGTAATAAAATGACCAGAGCCTAGTAATGGTTCTGGGAGCATGAGTCAGAGCAAAATTTCTAAGTTTCCACATCACAAACCAAATCAGAGCTTGGGCAAGTTATGAAGAATTTGGCCTCAGTTCTCCATTTAATAATTTCACTATTTCCCAAAACTTGTGAGAGCATATGGGCCTACTAAATATTTTGAAGGTAATAGGTAACCTAAATATAACACGAAATTAGATTCACTCATTAAAGTTCATTTTAAAAAATCTTACTGTATCTTATGGTCAGGTTTCTCAACCTTGGTACTCTTCACATTTTGGACTAGATAATTCTTTGTTCTAAAGGGCCTCCTACACACTGTAGAATGTTTAGCAGCAACTGTATTCAGATGCCAGCAACACCCTGCCCTGAGTTGTAACAATTGAGAACATCTCCAGACATTGTCAAATGTCCGCTGGGGGGACAAAATCACCCCCAGTTGAAAGTCATCATCTTACAGTGAAATTGCTAATGTAAATTTACTTTGCACCCAGCGATATGATCAGGTCATGGAATCACTGAAGAGGATCATGGTCTACCAGAGAAAGCAGGCAGAGAAATTGAACTGTGAAGTAGAAAAGTCACATTAAAATACCAGAAATGGGGCACCTGGCTGGCTCAGTCAGTGGAGCGTGGTGACTCTTGATCTCGGAGTTGTGGGTTCAAGCCATGTTGGATGTAAAGACTACTTAAAAATAAAATCTTAAAAAAAAAAAAACTAGAAATAATTTAAACAGTGAAGATACCAAATATAACTCCTTGCAAAGCATACCTTCTACACAATCAGTTAGATTTCCCTTTTGCTAAGATCACTCCTTAAAAAGAATAGCTAATATTTCCATTTCAGGTATGAAAAAGTATTTCTGGTCCTTGATAATTTTTAGTTTGTTACTCTTGATCTAGAACAATAATTTTCCAACAATCTATGGTAAAAGACCAGTTCTGAAATTTCTAATCTACTATAGACCAACATGTGGTCCTACTCTGTGCATTGGTATCAAAGAATTCATAGGCCAGCTGCCTGGGAGCCACAGTCTGAGTAACACTATTCTGGAGTTCTAACTTCTATTGAGAAGTATGGTTTAAATACCTTTTGAACTCTTCAGTGATAACGTTCACAAGCCAATCTATAATTTTTTTATTGGCTTTTTTGTTCAAGAGACAGAAAGAAAGGTGGTTTTGCCACCTTTTGAAACACAACTATACTAAAATTAAAGGGAGAAAAAGATTTCTTTTAAAATTCTTTTTTGGATACTTTAACATAAGACAAAATTATGAAAGTGCCTTAAATATCTTTAATCCCTAGTATTTCCTGCTCTTCAGCTTTTAAAGAAATACAGCCTCTTCTGTTAGAAAAACCGTATGGCTGCAAAGTGGGTGAAAAGCAGAATGGTTTTAAAAACCTGTTCTACAAACCTTCTTTCCCTCCAGAGGATCTCTTAGAAGGTAAACAATTTAGAAATACAACTTGTTTCTATTGGCTTGCACTTGCCTTCCAATTAAAGTTCTATTCATAATCAAAGTAGAAAACTGTCAACAGTGGCTACATTTCCACATTACACAATAGCATCTCTTGAAAATGGCTGGAAAAAGCAGGAGTATTTTGAGTTTTGCCCAAATGACTTGTTTTATGTTCACGAAACTGGTGATCTGTGTGTGTGTAGAATTGTCAAATATCAAACTAGAAGGGAAACTGACCAGACTTGGGCCACAGGCACCCTTCCCAGGGTTAACTTAAAGTTTCATTTAGCTGGGCAAGTCAGAGTACCCCAGGAGCCTCTTAGCTCATTTCCATGTTTGTGTGCACATAAATATGCCCAGCCCTTAAAACTGCAGTCTTAGAGTTAGAAAATACCTTTCCACTCATGTAGCCAAACAGCCCTGACTGCCTTTTATTGTGAAGCTTTCTCTTTAAGACTTCACCAGAAAATTAAAATATGGAATCTATTAGGAGAGGCTTGGGAAAAGAGAGATTGATCTCAAGATATTCTTATCTTTTACAGAGAAAAGGGCTAACCAAAAAAAAAAAAAATGTAGATGAGTGAGACAATATGAAAACAAGCATGGAGATATTCTCATCTTTCTCCTAACCAGAGTTTGAGTACACAACAGGAAGAATGGGGAGCCTTGGGGCCAGCTTTGATTCACTCAGAATGGACTCAGCAAAGTCCTCTGAAACCAAGGCCATTCCACTAAGAAATTATTAGTCCTTTGACTCATAAGATCCAAACTTTGCTATGTAATCTAACAAAAATGCAAGTATAAAAAAAATGCAAGTATAGTAATGGTGAAAAATGTTCCTCTCAGGGTCCCCAAAACTTGGACAAATGGTGGCTTTTGAACGTAGAATGGGCAAATTCTAAAACCTCTCCCCCCATCAAAATTTACTGCTATGTAAGTGTCTCCCGATCTGACAAGTAGGGCCGGATTTGCCGTCTTTCGTCAGAATCCTCTCCAGTGGGATCGTTTTCCTCACCAGACTCCACGTAGATTGGCCAGTCATTGTCTGTGTCACTCTTTTCTTGGCTTTCAGAAGAAGCCTCCACCAGGCTAAGGTTGATGGGCATCAAATCGTCTTCCTCGTCGTGCGTGTCTGTAACACAGGTGCAGCTGTCACACAACCCAAAGCGCCGTAGTCCCTGGGACAGGTGACTTGTAAAAGTTCTTCTGCAGCCCTTGCAGATGATTGGACGGTTGGATCTGTGAACCTAAAATCACAAGCAGACACAGCAAACGCTCTCGCCCCTGCTCTCTCTGCCACAGCCTCAACCTCACCAAGGTGCTTCCACCCCAAGGCCATTGGACATATGGGAAATGTGCCCCCCCCCCCCATACTAATGCCTCTGAAGAAGTCTTCACTGACGCTCTGGGCCAGGTTAGGCCCCCAGCTGTATATTTTCACCTATGCTCCTTTTCTTGAAATTTTTAAAAAGATTTTATTTGTTTGTTAAAGGGGGAGAGGGGCAGAGGGAGAGGGAGAATCTCAAGATGACTCTGTGCTGAGCAAGGGCCCCACAAGGGGCTCAATCCCACAACGCTGAGATCATAGCCTGAGCCAAATCAAGTCGGTCACCTAACCAACTGAGCCACCCAGGCGACTCCATTACTGAGTTTCTAACAAATTGTTGGTAAATTCCCTAAACTATAAGATCCAAGAAGGCAGGGACCATTCACATTCATGTTCTTTTTTTTTTTTTTAAGATTTTATTTATTCATGAGAGACACAGAAGGAGAGAGAGGAAGAGGCAGAGACACAGGCAGAGGGAGAAGCAGGCTCCATGCAGGGAGCCCGATGTGGGACTCGATCCCGGGTCTTCAGGATCAGGCCCTGGGCTAAAGGCGGCACTAAACCACTGAGCCACCAGGGCTGCCCCACATTCATGTTCTGTCAGATTTGTTACTATATCCCTATGCCTGTATATAAAGCACATTCGGGGAATGGATGTGGATTTTAGGTATGGCTTTTTATGTACCTGGGATTGTCTAGTTCTTAGGGAGGCAGACTTGCTAGATGATATCTCCTCCAAGCGTGGCAGATGCTCCAGCCTTAGCTTTTTTGATAAATGCATTCCTTACCTATGAGAAGCACTTTGCATGCTAGAAGAAAGAACCTGATCTCCTACGCAATGCAGTTCCTCCTTAAGGCAGCAGCCCTGGGGGCGGGGGGGGGGGTCCCTCTGTATAAGGAACTATCTAATACATGCAATTCTTTAGGGGCTCCAGCCTAAAGGGACTCTGTAAACCAAAGCCTCTCCTGTGGAGAGCTCTGGATGCAGGATGCAACAAGAGGTAAAGATAGAGAGAAATGACAGAGGACAAGGGCCAAAAGCACAATACCCACCTCACTGGAGCTGCTACCACATCCTGACCAACATCCCTGCTTTCCATGAGGTTTCCTGGACTTTTTACATTAAACCCCTGACCCTTAGCCAACCTGAGTGTGTATATGACCTTTGCAACCTGACAGGGCCTCTGAACACCACCTCTTTGGACTATAGTAGACTGGACCTTGTACAACAGGGAAAGACAGAGGGAATAAGGATTCCAACCAATGAACTATCTTAGGGGCATCAGGGACTTACTGCTGCCAAGACAGACTGGAGATATAATTTGAGGGGGAAGGGGCGCCTGGGTGGCTCAGTTGGTTCGTTATGATCCCAGGGTCCTGAGATTGAGCCCCACCATCAGGCTCCCTGCTCAGCAGGAAGTCTGTTTCTTTGTCTCCCTCTGCCCCACCACCCTTGACCCCCCCCCACTCATGCTCTCTCTCTCTCTCAAATACATTAAAAAATCTTTAAAAAAAGAATTTTTGGGGAAAAAACAGACAAACAAAAACTTAAGGCCATGAGAAGAGGCCATACTCAGACAGATGTGCTGGTGCCAGCCCTGAGAGTAGAGACAGTCAGTAATCTTGTACTTATCTTAAAACTGAATTCTTTCAAAACCACAACTCACATACCATAAAATTCACCTTTTAAAAAAAAGATATTTATTTATTTATTTATTTATTTATTTATTTATTTATTTATTTATTTATTTATGAGAGAGAGAGAGAGAAAGCGCGCGCACAAGTAGGGGGAGTAGCAGTGGGAGAAGGAGACGTAGACTCCCCACTGAGCAGGGAGACCAACATGGGGCTTGATCCCAGGGTCCACCTGAGCTGAAGGCAGATGCTTAACTGAGCCACCCAGGTGTCCCAAAATTTACCTTTTGAAAGCATACAATTCAGTGTTTGTTTTAGTATATTCACAAAATTGTGCTACTATCACCACCATCTAATTCCAGAACATTTTCATCACCCCAGAAAGAAACCAGGTGCCTATTAACTGCCTTTCTCTCCCATCTGACATCCTCTTAGGCCCCAGTAACCACTGATCTACTCTATCTCCATGGGTCTGCCCATTTTATGTATTTCATATAAATGAGATCATATGATGATACGTGGCCTTCTGTGACTGGTTTCTTTCATGTATTATAATGCTTTGGTGGTTCCTCCATGTAGTAGCATGTACCAGAACTTCATCCCATTTTATGGCTGAATAAGGGTCCATTGTATGGATAGACCACAATTTGTTTACTCATTCATCAGTTGATGGACACGTGGGTTATTCCCACTTTTTGGCTTCTATGAACAATGCTATGAACATTTGTGTGCATGTATGCTTTTGTGTGAATGTATGTTTTCACCTCTCTCAGGTATATACTTAGATACAGAATTGCTGGGACTTGGTAATTTTATGCTTGACTTTTTTTTTTGAAGAACCACCAAATTGTTTTCCGCAGTGGCTGCACCATTTTACATTCCCACCAGCAGTGTGTGAATGTTCCAATTCTTCCACATCCTTGCCAATGCTTTGTTATTACTTGTGCTTTGATTATAACAATCCTACTGTGTTTTAAGTGGTATCTCATCATGGCTTTCGTTTGCATTTTCCTAATGACTGGTGATGTTGAGCATCTTTTCATGTCCTTACTAGGCATTTGTATAACTTCTTTACAGAAATGTCTATTCAAATCCATTGTTTAATTTGGTTATTTGTCTTTTATTGTTGAATTGAAAGAGCTCTTTGTATATTCTAGTTACTAGATCCTTAGCAGATAAATGATACACAAGAATTATCTTCCATTCTTTGGGTTGTCATAATATTGATAGTGTCCTCTGAAGTCCAAATCATTTTTATGTTTGATGTTCCAAAGACTGATTGCCTTGCTCAAAGATTTTTTTTTTTAAGATTTCATTTATTTATTCATGAGAGACACAGAGAGAGAGAGAGAGAGAGAGGCAGAGACACAGGCAGAGGGAGAAGCAGGCCCCATGCAGGGAGCCCGACGTGAGACTCGATCCCAGGTCTCCAGGATCACGCCCTGGGCCAAAGGCAGCACTAAACCGCTGAGCCACCTGGGCTGCCTGCTCAAAGATGATCTTAAATATAATACCTTCCTAAATGGCCTGAACCCCTTTTATATGGTGGGAATTAACCACCTACATGGGAGACAGAATCCCAGGGGGCAGCCAGTGGGAGGGGAGGTCCCCTGGATCTGGAGCCCTCTTTGCTGCCCACAGGTTGCCTTAGGAAGGGCGGCACACGCTTTCCCCACATCCAGGTACCGAGGTTGGGTGGAAAACTGAGGTTGCATTTTTCTCACCTTTGGCATCACATCCCTGAGAACAGACCCACAATCCCCTTGTCCAGGACCCACTGCTCTCTGCCTTGTGACAACCATCCCTCACCAGGATCTAAATTTTCTTGAGTCTAAGAAAACTAGTCTCTTATCATATAAGTTTTAACTTTCTCCAAGTGCCACCAAGCCAGCTTTTTTTTTTAAATTTTTTTTTAATTTATTTATGATAGGCACACAGTGAGAGAGAGAGGCAGAGACACAGGCAGAGGGAGAAGCAGGCTCCATGCACCAGGAGCCCGACGTGGGATTCGATCCCGGGTCTCCAGGATTGCGCCCTGGGCCAAAGGCAGGCGCTAAACCGCTGCGCCACCCAGGGATCCCGCCAGCTTTAATTTAATAGAAACATATGTTTAAAATTCTCTGAAAAGAGGGGCACCTGGATAGCTCAGGGGTTAAACACCTGCCTTTGGCTCAGGTCGTGATTCCAGGGTTCTGGGATCAAGTCCTGCATCAGGCTTCCCTGCAGGGAGCCTGCTTCTCCCTCTGCCTGTGTCTCTGCAGAGGAGATCTTTTCTTTTTATATTCTAGTTACAATATAGAATTGTATATTCTATACAATATATTCTCATAAATAAATAATTAAAATCTTTTTCTTTTTTTTTATTTATTTATGATAGTCACAGAGAGAGAGAGAGGCAGAGACACAGGCAGAGGGAGAAGCAGGCTCCATGCATCGGGAGCCCGACGTGGGATTCGATCCCGGGTCGCCAGGATCGCACCCTGGGTCAAAGGCAGGCGCTAAACTGCTGCGCCACCCAGGGATCCCATAATTAAAATCTTAAATAAACAAATAAAATAAAATTCTCTGAAAATACTCTAGTGGACAGAGAAGTAAAAGGGAGGCTGGTTCACCCTTACATTAGCTCCCTCCCCTCCTTCTCTCCATCTCCTCTACAGGAGATTTTCCAGCCCAGACACTTACACTCAGGGCATGACTCCGCAGGTGCTCCTGTCGAGTGAACCTCTTGCCACAGGTCTCACAGGGGTAGGGTCGTTCGCCCGTGTGCGAGCGGATATGCCGCTTAAGGATGCCCTTCTGTTTGGCGGTGTAAGGGCAGAAAGGACACTTGTGGAGCTTGATGGGGACCACGAGCACATCACCTAGGGAACCAAATGGGTTGATTTAACTGTACTTGTAAGCAACCAATGACACTGGCCACCCTCTAATGGGTGATCTGGAGCTGGGGAATTCCGCCAGCCCGGATCCAGAGGAAAGACATCAACTTTACCACCAGCTAATAATAGCAAGACACTACAAATTCCAAGTCTTTGTCTGGCTCCCAGTCAGCCAGAGGGTGAAGCAGGCTTCTGATATAAGGTTGCAAGGAATGCCATATGGTACTGGCTTTCGAAGTTCTCTGTGGCTCACAGTTAGAGATACAGCTTACATTACAATCTCAGAATTCACATGTCTACAAGTGGATAACTGGAAAAGCTTCCCAAAATAACACTCACTCTGACAGTGTGTATTGTCTTTGATTTCATTTTAAGGCGATGCTGAGACCCTGTTAGGAACTGAATTACATCCCCCCGCCCAAATTCATACATCGAGGCCCTAACCTCCAGTGTGACTATATATTTGGAGATAGGGAGGTAATTACGATTAAATGAGATCATAAGGTGGAGCCCTAATCTGATAGGACAGGTGTCCTTATAATTAGAGGAAGAAAAACCAGAGATCTCATTCTCTCTCTGTTCATGCAGAGGAAAGGCCATGTGAGGACCAGCAAGAAGGTAATCATTTGCAAGCCAGGAAGAAAATAACCCCACCAACACCTTGGTCTTAGACTCATCTCTGTGTTTAAACCACTCAATCTGTGGTATTCTGCTGTGGCAGCCTGAACTGACCAACACAGACCTCCTGGATTGATTCCATGACCCTCAAAGGTTTGGAAACCTCTGTTATGATGAATCAGACCCTTGGATCGGGATCCATACTTCCTGCTATAGGAGAGCCTAAGAATGGCTTCCAGGCATGTGCAGAAGAGGTGTACTATGATGCACATCCTAAACTGGAATGCGTACTAACTATAGACCAGAAATCATCAAAAATCCAGGAATTCACTTAAGTCTTTTTCCAACTCTTTTTTCCCCCACCTTGCTTATACAACCATTAAGGTGACAACATGATTATCCCCTCCTATATAAAAACTGTTCCTTTCAAGTTTCCTGAGTTACCCTTACTATAGTATTCCAAGATGTGTTTCCTCTATCCATGCCCTTCAGGATTTTTTAGACTTTGGTCATATCATATCATATAGAACGGCATTAGTGACTCAAGCTTTCCAGGCATTAAAATCTGGGTTCAAGTCCCCACTCTACTATTTACCAGCCATGTGACCTTAGACATTTCATTTAACTTCTCTGGGTCTTACTTTACTCATCTGTAAAATATGGATGATATTAGTTCCCACTTTAAAGGATTGTGTTAAGAATGAAATGAAGTAATACCTAAAGCACAGCACCTGGCACATGGTAAGAGCTCATAAATGTCAGCCATTTTTTTCACCACCATCCTCTCCTTGGTGTTGTTTCTTTACTGATGAAGCAGCCCAGGCTCTGTGGTTTCTCTCAATACTAGAGTAACTCCTTTTCTCTGGGACCTTCTCAGAATACCTAACTGAGCTTTGTCTTTTCTGAAGTGTTGCCAAAAGTATGGCAAGCTGATTCCCAAGTGAGAATCCAGCATCATTCTACACAAAGGTGGAGATTATTTTCTCTGGTTTCCAGCTCCCAGATTGATAATGCCTAACATGCTGCATAATCTATAGTGATTCCAAAACCTGTTTCCTATTTTAAAAGCAGTAGCTCTCAACTTGTCACTACATATGTATGTTGGATTATTTCATTTCTCACTGGTCAGACTGGAACTGAGATGCCAGTTTCTTGCTCACTCTTCTGGTGTTGTGGAATCTTTCTGCAATCTATCCCCACCAGCTTGGCATTATACTTTACCTTCCTTCTCAATTATCTACAAAAACATTAAGTAAGATGGGTCTAGCATTAGTCCCTAACCAACTGCTTAACTATATTTTCATCAGAAAAGTAAGAATTATCACATTTTCCTTCTTCTCTCATGATCTGATTTCACCAATACAACCATTCATTTGAATGTCTATTACATACCAGACACTGTGTTATCAAGGTCTATCCTTACCAAGGCACCCATTTCCTCCCTCAAAAGTTAAGGCTAGCAGGAAAAAAAGACATGTAAATAAATTCATACATATAATGTAACCCAAGCAAAGTTCCAAATGATGAAGAACATGGACAAGAAACTAATGAATTCACTCTAGGAATTCAGAAAAGATTTCTGGGAGAGATGATCTTCAAGCAAGATTTTAAAGAATGAATAGGAGTTCACCATGAGGGATCCCTGGGTGGCGCAGCAGTTTAGCGCCTGCCTTTGGCCCAGGGCGCGATCCTGGAGACCCAGGATCGAATCCCACGTCGGGCTCCCGGTGCATGGAGCCTGCTTCTCCCTCCGCCTGTGTCTCTGCCTCTCTCTCCCTCTCTGTGTGTGACTATCATAAATAAATAAAAATTAAAAAAAAAAGGAGTTCACCATGAGTTCAAGAGAGAAAGGTATTTCAGACAGAGGAAATAACACATGCTTAGGCATAGAGGTAAGTGAGAATACAGAATATAAAGTGGAGGGGAGACAGGGGATGAGAAATGATCCTATGGGAGGGGCAAGAACCAGGATGTAAAGATAACTTTTCAATCGTTTATTCAACAAATTCAAACTGAGCATCTATTGTGTTGGGCTGTCCTGGGGATACAGTAGTGAACAGAAAAGACAAAAATGTTTGCCTTCATGATTTTGATATGTTCAGGAACTTGAACTTTATTCTCTAAGTAACTAGAATTTTTTTAAAGATTTTATTTATTTATTCATGAGAAACAGAAAGACAGAGGTAGAGACACAGGCAGAGGGAGAAGCAGGCTCCATGCAGAGAGCCCAACATGGGACTTGATTCTGGGTCTCCAGAATCATGCCCTGGGCCGAAGGTGGCGCTAAACCACTGAGCCGCACAGGCTGCCCAAGCAACTAGAATTTTAAGGAGGGGACGTATATAGTCATATTTTAGGTTTTCTTTTTTTAAGATTTTAAGTATTTATTTGAGGGAGAGCGAGAGAAAGCATGTATGGGGAGGGGCAGAAGGAGAAGAGGGAGATGTAAGCTCCCTACTGAACAAGGAGCCTGACCCCAGGACCATGATCTGAGCCAAAGGCAGATGCCTAACCAATTGAGCCCCCCAGGCGCCCCTAGACTGGAGTTTTAAAAGATCTCTCAGAGGGATGCCTGGGTGGCTCAACGGTTGAGTGTCTGCCTGGGCATAATCCTGGAGTCCCAGGATCAAGTCCCACATCGGGCTCCCTAGGAGGAGCCTGCTTCTCCTTCTGCCTATGTCTCTGCCTCTCTCTGTGTGTCTCTCATGAATAAATAAATAAAAAATCTTTAAAATAAAAGATCTCTCAAAAGATAATGCAGGGGAAGGTTATTTATTTATTTATTTGTTTACTTATTTATGTATTAAGATGTATTTATTTGAGAGAGAAAGAGAGAGGGAGGGAGAGAAAGAGTGCAGGGAGGGAGAGGGAGAGAGAGTCTCAAGCAGACTCTGCACTGAGTGGGGAGTCTGTCACAGGGCTTGATCTCACGACCCTGAGATCACAATCTGAGCCAAAACCAAGAGTCAGACACTTATCTGACTGCACCATGCAGATGCCCCAAAGGGGAAGGATTTAAGAGAAGCAAGATTAAAGGTAGGAAGTAACAGGTGGTAGAGAACAAGAAATGTCATGAACTAAAGCAGTGACCGTGGAGGTGAGGAAGAAGAGATACGCATGTGAAGGAAAATGAATAGCACTCTATGACTACATGGGGAAGGGAAGAGAAGGGAAAGAGAAGACTCAAAATGACACAGATTCTGGGTTAGCTGGCTTGGTGAATGACGGGGAAATAAACCGAGGTAGGGAACACAGGAAGAAAAGCAGGTACTAGAGGAATGAGGAGTTCAATTGGGATTTTACTATATTTGGAGCAGGTCCAGAGCATCCATGGGAAGCATATCTGGCTTTAGACAAATAAATCTGGAGCTCAGGCACAGAGGCACAGAAGGGAATACAGTTTTGAGAATCTTCAGCAGATTGGAGTGGTTGCTTTAATTAAGGCCTGGGTCTCCCCTGAGTACCCTGCTTCCCTTACTCCATCACCCTGATGCCTCTGAGTCAGAGGTGAGTAGGATAGTCCTTGTGCCTCACTGTCATCCCCAGACCACTGTCCCTCCCTCCATCCTTAAAAACCTTAAGAGCTTTTGAAGTTCACACTATCAAATGATAGCATAATTACCTCTCCTTATTGCAGCCATCTTGGAGCCCCAAGGTCACCTCCTCATTCTGTGGAGGTTTGATCACATTGCCTTCAAATACAACTCCTGACATAATTCTTGGTGTGAATACTGAAAATGACCTCTCCAACACCCTAGCTTCTCTGTTCCTTAACCTCCTTTCCTCCAAAGACTTTGTTCTCCACCCCACCTCAGCTACCCAATCCTAGACCAAGAGCTCTCAACTCTACCTGCATATTAGAATCACCTGGGAAACAAACAAACAAACAAAACGATATCCAATCTCTATCCCAAGTGTCATTTTTTTAAAAAGATTGTTTATTTATTTATTTGACAGAGGGAAAGTACAAGCAAGGGGAGCAGCAGGCAGAAGGAGAGAGAGAAGTAGGCTTCCCGCTCATCAGGAAGCCAGATGCGGGGCTTGATCCCAGGACCCCAGGATCATAACCTGAATCGAAGGCAGATGCTTAACCAACTGAGCCACCCAGGTGCTCCACCAAACATTGTATTTTTAAAGCACCCTGATAGTGTGTAGATGGGAGTGAGAATTATGGCCCCATCCCCATACCGAGATATTTCCAATGACTGCATTTGCTCCACAGCCCACAAACCAAGCACCCCGCTTCCCAGTCACTATCTCATATCTTTCCAGCTCACCCCCTAAATGTCCCTTCTTGGTTGGGACCAAGCCATGGACTTTGCTGCCATTTTACTCTCCTTCACCTCCTTGGGTCCTCATGCCTCTCC